TTTCTCGTATATTTTTTATTTATTCAAATATAAAAGTATTTATCTATCTTTTCATTTAAGAAAGCATATTTAAAATTAAAATAAATAATAATAAATTAAATTTTACTTTATTTTATTAAATTAAAACTAAAAAATAATCATAACATTTTGAAAAAATTTGAAAAACCATTGTTTTGCTTAATTTATTTTCAAAAAATCCATTTTAAGGGGGCCCCTAATTATTAGGGGCCCCAAGCCATGGCCTAATGGGTAATCCGGCCCTGGCAATAACAAAATAAACACTACAACACCGTTTGTCCAGCAAATTGTCATAACAAAACCACAAGCTCAAAATTGTTTACAGCAACTCCGGCTCCTGTTAAATAACTATGTTCAGCTCAAAACTCATTTATCGCACTTGCTTGTTTATGAATTTTATTGTGCGATAAGCTTTTCTCTTTAATTAAATAAATTAGATTTTTTTTTTATCCTCATTGAAGTTTTATTCTATAGGAAAAAACTATTTGAATGAATAGTTTCTTCAAGATATTTTTATTATTATGAATTCATTTATTCCGCTCATCACTCTTTTTGTGGGGAAATAAACTGATAGAAAGAAAAAAAATAATGACATGTTCAGGCCGAAAAAAGCACAAAGAAACGATTATATTCATCTTAAAAAGAAACCCTAAATTTCTTACATGGCTGATCAAATAAAAAGGAGCAAAAAATCCGAAGGAAAAAACACCACCGGTGATAAAGCCTCAAAAAACAAATTTTATCAGTGCCATGAAAAACTGTGTTTATAAGGTGTCAATCAGATACAAATAGATGAGAATTGTGTTAGAAAGCAGTTAATTAGATAGAATGATACAATTAGATGAAAATTGTCATTATAAGATGTTAATCAAACACACGATTAAGTGAGAATTGTGTTTAAAAGCTTTCAATTAGATACAATAAAGGGAAAATTGTTTTTAAAATAAGTAAATAAAATACAGTTTGGTGAGAATTGTGTTTAAAAGCTGTTAATCAGATACTATAGGAGAAAGTTATATTTATTAGATATTTGATCAGATGCAATAGGTGAATATTGCTTTTATAATACATTAATCAGATAACGTGAGTGACAATTGTGTTAGTAAGAAGCTGTCGGAAAGAAAAAAAGTTTTTTAAAATTCCGAAATTTTCACCAAAGCTTTTAAAGTGGTAGCAAAATTTAATTAATAAAGTATATTTCTTGTTTAAAAAAAAATAAACACCAAAAAATCTTGATCACCATACTAATAAAGAAATTTATTTCTTCTGTTTAACTAAGTGAAATACAAAATGAAAATTATTCAAATTTGATTGGATAAATTTATCCCGATGAATTTGAATGCTACTTCCCATGCTATGAAAGAATATTAATTCTACTTCCTTTAATGGGTATCTTACTCAGGGCTAAAGAGAATAGAAGGGCTAGTTCACTCCATTGAAGACTCTCGCCACAAACCTCCGATTTTCGCGTGTGATGTCACGGTGGCGCAAAGCTTGAGCTTTTACTTCAAGAACGAAGCGTTCGGTCTAACTAGCTTAAACTAAGATTGGAGCAATCCATTTTCCGACATATTCCAAGACATTCCTTGTTTCCTATAATGATTTTTCTCAGTTTTGTGTAGTGAACTACAAAAATTTAAAATTATTTATGAAATGCCAGTTTGTGCGATTGCAACTTACAAAAATTCTGTTAGAAACACACAAGGAAAAAATATAATTTTCCACGTGTTCCCTAAAGTAAATGAACAACTATGTAAAGAATGGCTTCAGCGTTACAAACGAAATCACCCAGTTAATACTACATATGAACAAATATGCAGTAAGCATTTCTTAAAACAAGATTATGAAGATGATATGAGAAATCGTTTGCTTGGATTGCCGATTAGAATGATTTTAAAATTACTCTAACTTTACCAAATACTCTCTTATCTAAGGGAGGATAAATTATTCCGTCAGCAGCATAGTGTGTCAGGAATTTGAGAATATTTTTCAAAGTGTGCATGGGACAGAAAATCAAAAAGTGTCATCCAAGAACTTATAAATGATAGAAGGACGATATTTCGCAGTGAATAAAACAGCAATACGCTTATTTTGCATTTCAGAACTTTTATAAGAATTCGCCATCTAAATTGAAACAGCCCAGTTAGCTCAAAAAAAAGGCAGAGGATAAAATTAAAAAATGAATAAGTCAAAGAAAATAAAAACTTAAATGAAAAGTATTGATAATTAATAGTTAAAATTCTCCTAATTTCATAACGTAGTTTTTAATGTAGTTATTCAAAATAATATTTTTTTTAGTTATAGTATAATTATTTTTTCAATATAATTATATTCTTTTCAATTTAAATATCTATAAGCAATTCTAATATTTCTAATATTTTTATGAACCTAAATTATTATTTTGTTAGAATAATTAGCTTTTAAGGTTGTTGTTTCCAAATGATTAAGTATAAACAAATTGCCATTAACAGCACATTTTAAAATCAGGTTTCTAAATTTAACCCAATTTTACAAATTATCGTTATCGAACTATATGTAGCTAAAAAAGTGTCAATATATGCATTAATTTTTTTTTTAAATAATAGAAGTTAAAACTGAAAATTTTAAAATGAAGTATTTATATCGTCATTTACGACAACTAGTAAAATATTTTTAACAGTTTAAAATGGTATTTAATTTAATATATTAGCCAAGAACATTTTTTTAAACTATGTTTTTGAAAGGAAATAATATGTTAATTGCAAAAAATTTGAAAGCTAATATCAAGAAAAAGTCGAACTTATTTTTACAGAGAGAATGATACAAAGTTTTCATAATATCTTTGCTTGCGATCTCCGAGATCTGTGTAGCGTGCCCTCATGAGGAGGGAAAACGTAGCTTCAGCTCTATAAGAGCGGAATGAACTAACCCCATACTACCACTTAAATACTTTAGGTGGATCTTTTAGGTTGAAGCTCTGAATAAAAAAAATTGTTTTGTAGATGTTGTTCTTCCGCCTTTTTTCTTTTTCTCGAAAAACTGTCATGGCGTGATGCTCATATTTTTTATTCATAAAAACGATGAATTCTGAAATACTCAGTAAATACGATGAACATGTTCCTGAAAAAAACATTTAAAAATAAACAACTTATTGATATTTTTGCTGCCTCATTATTTCAAATCTTTTTACTACAAATCTGTTTCATTTTAAATGTTTTGATACATATTATCGAAATGAAGGAAATTGAGAAGAATCTATTATTGATTCCGATATCAGAGTTCTTTATTATTATTATTGTTATTATTATTTTTCAAAGTTCCTTTTAAGGCTGAAAGAAATCGTTATAAAACTCCGATTTAAAATTGACTGAAGCAAATTAACATTATTGACTACATCATTTTTCGTTATTTCATTATTTCGTATCTGAATCTACGAAAGTGACAATTGACTGATTTTTGAATCAGTGTTTTCTAATGTTTTTATTTTATTTTTTTATTTCTTGTTCTTAATTGTAATGTTATATTGATTATTTTATAATTTTACTAGCTGAATAACCGTTCGTGGTAAAGGGAGAAAAAATAATCATCAATAAATCAACACTTAATACTAGAAAATCATGCACAAAACTGTAAAACAAAAACTGACACAAATAATGAAATAATAAAAGCTTTAGTTATAAAAAATAAAAGCTAAAATAAAATTCCAACGTTTTTTATTTCTCTTTTTTTTTTTTTAATTTTATTATTTTTAATTTTGTTGCCTTTCTCGGTTGTTGTTGTTAATTTACGTCGCACTAGAGCTGCACATTGGACTATTGGCGACGGTCTGGGAAACATCCCGGAGGATGATCCGGAGACATGCCATCACAATTTTGATCCTCTGCGGAGGGGATGGCACCCCCGCTTCTGTATCCCGACGACCTGCACGCGAAGTCGAGCACTTTACGGTAGCACAGTTTAACGAGGACCAATACCGCACACCCTCGGTCCCTACGCAGACTGATCCAAGTGGTCACCCACCCGCACACTGACCGTAGCCAGTGATGCTTGACTTAAGTCAAGCAGCAGATCACCGAAGATCACCGAATTCGGTGATCTGCTGGGAACCGTGTCTTAACGATCAGTCCACTGCGGGACGAGACTTTACGTAATTAGGTTAAGCAAAGCATGTATTTATTAGTTCATCTTATCAAAATAAGGCAGTATTCAGTACTTTCCTGTTGCCTGAGACAACTTAGAATGTGCAAATCTACACTAGGGAACGCTGCAAGCTCGGTACCGCCTAAATTTCCGGGTTACTGTTTCCGTTGCATTTTAAAGCCATTCGGCATCATTGTGTTTTGAGATTCTTGCAAACAATGTATTTGATTACTTATTACTTGCGTTTAGAATGCTAAAAGTGTTAACACTAACGTAAGATGGCGCACAGCTTGCAACAAGAACAAACAGTAATAAACTTATGGAAAGAGGCTAAATGAAGACTGCCAAAAAAGCGAGTTATTCAAAATCAAGCAACTATGTCACCTTTTTTAACAATACATCTCTAAAAAACTAAAACAAATTTTCACTTCAAACTCACCAGAATTACATATTAACATTAATATCTTATGAAATATGGCAGATTTGAGCTCAGAAATTATCTAATTTATTTCTTTTATTGAAAACAAAATTATCCGTTTGAAAACATCGCCTATCAGAATAACATGTAGTAAGCTGCTACAAACTTTTTAACCGGAACTAGAGTAAGTGCCGAGCTCGAGATTGTTTACATTTCTAATGAAAACACCATCCCTATCTCGCAAAAAAGCTTATTGCAAATATCTGTAAAAAGCTTTGTTTCAATTAGATTAAATACACTCACAAAGAAGACTTTTATGAAAAATAAAAAGATTGACCCCTAAATGAAATTCTCATGCGCTAAATCATCATGCGCGACACAATTTAGTGAACTAGTGGAAATAGGTCAATACATTCATTTAAAAGTAAGTATAAGTTTTTAGTGTTAGATGTTGGCAACAAAGTCTTGCTGCGGCGCGTAAATATTTTCATTTAGGTTTTACGTTTAATAATATCATTTTTGATGTTTTTTAATAGAATTTTTGTGATTTGACCATTGAAAAATGGGGTTTTTAAAGTGCATTGAAGTGGAGAACTTCAAGTCTTATAAAGGGAAGCAGGAAATTGGAGTTTTAAAGCCGTTTACAGCTATTATTGGACCTAATGGCTCAGGTCATCTGCAAATTATATTCCTTCTTCCCTTTTTAAATGTTATTTCTGTATTGAGATTTACCAGCTTTATATTTTATGCATAAACTCTTATTAATAGCATGGGCTTTTTAAAGCAGGATGTTTTATGATGTATTTTCTAACTTGTCCTAGGTTTCTATGCTGTACTAAGAACAATTTGTTCCATATAGAATCTTCCAATTTTTAGTTAATGATATGTGTATAATGTTAGTTTCATAGATTCTAAGTTAAGGCATATGAATTTAATGTAACTAATAAGATTATAGACTTATTTAAGCATAGTTAATTCGACTGATTATTTTAAAGATGAAAGTTCGGGAAGATTTTCGTACCGCAATCTTCGACAAAATAATCGCTAAGTTTTAGCGATTTCCCGACAATGCAAGGATGAGATTTCTTTTTTTCCCAGATTTCTATCTTTTTTTTAATTGCATTTCCTACCGTTATTTTTATTTATTATTGGTTCTTTTCATACGGTTTTTCTTATTCCTATAATTTTAATACAATTTTATTACGACATTCGAATATGGTGTTATTATGATATTCGAATTTAGAATTAGAGTTATCACATTCCGTCTTAATTTCACTTTGGAACATAATTTTGTCCATGGTAATTTATTATGTTTTTTCTGCACTTTTCACACGGTTTTTCAAATTGAGATATTTTTAAGGAGAGATTTCCGTATCGTGATTCTGTGGCAGAATAATCGCCAAGTCTTGGAAACTTCCGGGCAGTGGCCCCTCGAGAAACTAATAAAAACATCACAGTTAGGGACCAACTCGAAAGGTATAACTCGTAGGCATCTACTTGTTTTTTTTTTAAAAAATTGGCACCTTGGCGATTGTAGTTGGCTTGACAGATCACGATACGGAAATATCCCCGTGACCCGCATGAAACTAAGAAAAAAAATCATTGAAAGAACTAGAAAAGTATAAATCCTAGCCACCGCAAGCAAACATCTACATGTTTTTTTAAAAAAAAATCTGCAAATTTAAAATCTATTTGGCTCCTTGGCAATTGTAGTTGGCGCGACGGATCACGAAACGGAAATATCCCCATTTTTAATATAATGTTATGACATTTGAATGATCACTTCTTCCTTCATTTGATTTTTGACGATTGCATTGTTATTTTATATCATTGGATAGTAAAATTTTCAGCGCCTTTCGATTTGTTTTTCAAATTTCAATATTTTTAATAGGCTGTTATTAATATGACGCACAAATTAAGAATTTGAGTTATCACTTTTTGACACGTTCGATTCATGACAATTCCATTTGAATTTATGGTCGTTGGATGGTTATTTTGTGATAAATTATTTTTGGTGCCTTTCACATGGTTTTGCAATATATTTAATTGGATATTATATTATGACGCATGCAGCGTAATTTTACATTATTAGATAATGGTTTTTACGGCAATTGTGCATCATTTTGGCTTTCTTTTTTTTTAAATTCCAATATTTTTAATATGTTTTTTGCAACTTTTGAATTTGAGTTAATTTTTGTCATGCACACTCATATGTTCCAGTCACACTGTTCATGGATTATTTTCCCGGTAATTTTTTATAGTTTCGCAGCTACATCCTGGCAATTTTTCCAATTCTGATATAATTAATACAATGTTATGGCTAACGAGTTATGTATTCCAGTAATCAATTATTTATGTGCTAGATTTGTTTCATAGTAAATCCACATTAATTTTCAATCATTTTTGTACATCTGTTATTACAGTTACTTATCACTTTTTTTCAGCCATTTCAACATTGTTAAAATCCTTAGATATTTAATTTGTTCTTATGATTCACAACATTTTTAGAACTCGGGAATTACATTCAATTAAAAAACCGATTTAGAAAACGTATGAATGTATCTGAGGAATTATTTTTAAATTAAACTATTTCTCTTTAAAAAGAAGATTTTTTTTAATTATTAGATTAAGAGTTTTTTATATATTGGATTTCGAAAAAACTAAGGAAATATTTGCAAAATATGTGGGTGACGCTGCTCCACTGCCGTGGCTTTGCCACAGGTGCCCACTGGGTAGCGAGAAGAGAGTAGCAGTTCGGGCATTTATTTGGCCAATGGGACAAACCCCAAGTGCCAGCCATTAAAAAAAAGAAGGGGAAAAAATGCACTTTTCTGTGATGCGTTCTCTTTTTAAGGGAAATAAAGCACCATTTTCAGTTTCTAGTACCCTGCCCTTTTAAGGGCTAGAATATACCATGTACATTCATTGGAAATGACACATGACAATACATCAGAAATTACATGTATATATGATAGTTTTTACTTTTATCTTTTCCATTATTTCTTTTCTTATTTTATGGTTGACTGTGTTTTAAAATTTACTTTTTATCTTCCAATTGCTTTTTAATAGTTTTATTGTTTAAACTTACAACTCAACAACTAAAATTTCAAATGTATCTTGCTATAATATGTCTTTTTTAAAAACAGATCTTAAATTTTGCTGCTACAATTTGCTGTGATTCAGCTACAAATCTCTGAATTCATTACTAAAAAATTACTCACTAAAATTTTGTTATATTATTAGTTTTTGTTATATTATTATTATTAGTTTTTAATTTCTCTCTGAATAAGGGATATCTCTATTTAAAGAACAAATTTTCTGTCCCCTGTCATTTTCTTGATTTGGGAGGCACTACTGTCTGTATGTATTTTTTTTAATTTTTTTATTTATTTAGTTTTATTGCTGAAATATCTTTTTATTTATAATATCACTGCAAATACTAATAATACAAATGTTTTAATTTTGCAGGAAAATCAAATTTTATGGATGCCATTAGTTTTGTGTTAGGAGAAAAAACTTCATGTTTGAGAGTTAAAAAATTAAGTGTAAGTGAACTTCTTATTTGATATTTCTTTGAAAGTTATACTTTGTAATCTTCCAATCCAATAAACATTTTGTAAATAAGTGTAATTTTAAATTATTAATAGTCTCAGGTAAATCTCAATTAGCTTATGATTATTATTATAGTATTTTGATTTTATAGATGATTGATTGAATTAGTGAATATTAAAATAATTTTAAAAAATTAAGAATCTGGAACGTAAGTTTATGACAAAATTAACCCCTTAAAAATAAAAGTTATGTTTTTTTTTTTAGGAGCTAATTTAGTTTCCTCATAGTAGTATTGTATTATATATTACTATATTATAAATTATTTGTTAGAACTTCCACATGTTTCTGTCTAGTTGTTTTTTATCATTAAATACCTCTAATTCATGGGCTATATTATAATAATTACAATGTTAAATTATATCAGGCTTATGTTACAGATTTTGACTTTGTTTGGCATGCTCGTTTATAATTATTATTGTTTTTAAACTGGATAAATACATTTTTTTGAATTATATTGAAAAAAATCAATCTGAAATATTTCGAAATTTCTTGTGACTTAATATGTTTACTTAAAATATTGTATAATCTGTTGCATTTTTATTTTATAAAATTATGGTTTCTTTAATAGGAACTGATTCATGGAGCTCCCATAGGTGCACCTGTGGCTAATCGAGCCCATGTGACAGCCATTTATTGTGAAAGTGAACATACTGATATACATTTTACTCGGATTGTTGCTGGTTCTTCTTCAGAGTACAGAATTGATTCAAAGGTATGTTCAAAGTGATATTTTTTGTTTTTCTATATTTTTTTTACATCTGGAACTGTATTTTGAATAAAATCACCAATTAAATAAAGAACCCCATTTGATGTATTTAAAAACATCAATTCAAGAGTAATGATTTAAGGAGAGAAAAAAAACAGTGATTCTGCTAGGCTTTGTGAATTACATAATCTAATCTTAGGATGAATTACTTCCATATTTCAAATAAAAGCGGCTCTGCATTCAAAAGTAGTAATTCTCTACCTTCTATTAATATTTGCATTCTATTATTGTATCTATTAATATTCAAAACATAGAATTTAAAAGCAAAAAGAAATTATCCTTAAGCTATCAAGCATTTTAATTAGGGCTGACCAAACACCTGCATCAGGAAAAAGCAACAATGTAAATTGATACTCAGAATTCTTTCCCTTTTCATCTTTATCTATTAATATGGGAGGGGGGAAAAGTTTTCTTCAGATACTTAAAGTTTGGTCATAATTTTACCAGCATTAATTCATTAATTTGCTGATGCATTATTTTTTTCCACGCTCTTGGCTTGTTATAGTGCGTAAGTAGAATCACTGTAACTGCATGTTCTGTAAATTGATATATCTACTAGTTGAATATTAGTTATTTAGGTGTTATAAATTTTTCTTTAAATATGTATATATTATTAGTAAAACTTATTGCATTTATAAACTGGTTGATTAAAAAATAATTTCAAGCATACTGTTAAATTAATATATTTCAAGCATGCTGTTAAATTAATACATTTCAAGCATAAGGTATACGATCAACAGGGGTCTGTCCACGTTGAATTTACTACCGTTTAGCGGTACCTTCACAAATTCAATTTTAAGAAAAACGGTGGTTTCACAAATTCAACTTTAGGAAAAACGGTAGTTTCACAAAGTACTTTTTCTTAAGATTTTATTTTTGTATCCTTAAGAAACGATAAATCTATATTTTTACTATGTTTTTGTGTTGATTTTTTAATATCATTTTTAATTTTTCACATATTATGTCTAAATTTTCACAAAATAGGTACCTCTCAGAAAAACCTAGACAGACCCCTGATAGGGTATTGTTTTTATTTAGAT